GGGAGGGGGGGGGGGGGGGGAACCAGAAAGGAGGAGGATGGTGTCCAGGACAGGCCTTTCTCACGTGACGTTAGTTGGCATGAGAGGCTCAGGATGCAGTTCTGGTAGTTACAGTTCTTATCCTCTGAAAGAAAACCATATCAGGGAAACAAAGCAAAGCTCAGCACAGCTGGCAAGACGGTTTTGCACAACAGGAATAGGATGAGGAAGAAGGGAAGGGAAATTGCCTGTTACAAGTAATGATATCACGAGCGTCTGTGTCCAGTACCTTGCAATCAGCAGCACTTGCACAAAAGCTGATGTATAAGAAAATCTGAAACTGTATTGCTACACTGGGCAGGGTGACTGGCAGCATGGTCAAACAGGTAGGCTGCTCTCTGTCTCAGCATGGATGGGGTCTACAGCAAGCAGGCTAGAAGCCCTGCAGCTAGAGACAAAGGCTGATGCCAGGGTGGGCTTTTGCTGTGAATCTCAACACTGCTGGAAGCAGAACAAATGGTGGCAGGACTGGTCAGAGGAACAGAATTGAGCTGGTTCTGGAGACAAGAATTATGATCTCTCCCACAGTCTTGTTAGACTTGGCACTAAAGAGGTCACTATGCTCAACTGGGGAAATGGTAATCCTCCCCCCAGGATTTCCAGAGCAAGACCCTCGGTGCTGGTGTACACTTGTTTATTGAACTCATATTAGTAGCTACCTTTAATAAGTAGCAATAATCTTGTATGCTGTGGTAAAGATCTTTAGAGTGAAGTACATAAAAAAGAAAAAATAGTTTCTTTAGGAATTGAGATAATTTCATCAAAACTTTCTTTTTTTGTTGAAGGTATGAGCAATTCAGATGTGATGGTTGCTCTTCAGCGTGGGTACCGAATGCCACGCATGGATAACTGTCCAGCTGAGCTTTATGATATCATGAAAACATGCTGGAAAGACAAAGCTGAAGAGAGGCCAACATTTGATTATCTACAGAGTGTGCTTGATGACTTCTACACAGCAACAGAAGGGCAGTATCAACAACAGCCATAGAACAAAGAACACTTTTTCTATTGACATGGATCATTGGCACAGACTATTATTTGGACAGACTGCTCAAACCAATTACTTCATGAATTTGGATGTCTTAACTGAGTGTGGAAGCTGAAATGCTGAAGGAAAGAATAATTCTGCAGAGAAATAATGTTTTTATTTGGTTAAAACAGTTCTTCTAAAGCTTGAAGTTCTCCTTAAATGCCTTATGTTTTGCATCTGCAGAAACATCCCAAAGCAAGCAGGCTTTTTGGGGTGGGGAGGGAGAAGGAAGGAAAGCAATTGTGCATGGGCACAGTTTGACAACACCTTCTTAGGATCTAAATCACACAATACATTACAAGGAGACCTTTATAAAAGGGGCAAGAAGATGCATGAACAGCTGTCTTAAAAAGAAAAAGTCATGAAGGAAAACTTACATATTTAAGACATGGTGATGTTCTTAAATCATCTTTTGTGAAAATTGTTTTTATATCCTTGTTATTTCACATTAATATCTGGAGTACTGTCACCTCTTGTAAGACTTTCTAAACGGTGTCATGGTTTCCTTTAAGGAAGGGTTATGTATGCAATTCTTTACACTGAAGATGATTCTGTTTGTTTTACTGCTGTATTACTCATACTAAATTTAAAATAATTTTCAAAGCATCGCACAGCCATCATTGATGCAGAAGTGCAATATCGACACACATGACAGCAGAAGTGGCAGCACACCTAGCTCTGTGTTCAACCTTCAGTTTCCCACGAGGCCAAAGTCATCACCTGAAGTCCACTGGAAAGCACAGGATTTTGAAGGAAGTTAATATGTTCATTGCAGTCACTAAGACTCTTACCAGTGAAAGTATTTTAATCTTAATTTTTAATCCTCTGTGATTATTCAAGAAAATTCCTTATATTTTTGCTGCTTTAATCAACTAACCTCCAATCTGTTTTACAGCTAAAACTAGCTCTAGCTATCAAAAACAATTTGTGGAAATATGCAATAGGATACCAAGTTACATTGCAATGACACTATAGGTTTGTTGCTCAGTATATAAATCTAATTCATAAAAGTGAATGCAGTTTGCTAAACTCTACATATTGAATTGTTCTATCAAATTACTTACCAAACCAGCTGAGCTAGTGCAATTGCAATGTAACAACAGCATAGATTCCCCCGTAAAGTGATAGTGGTTCTTACATCTGAAACCCAGTTCCACCTTTGCCACCCCCTCAGCCCAATTTTTTAGGCAAATGGTACTTTGCAGAAGCTAAAAACCCTTTTGATAAAGCTTCAGTGTGCCTGCAGTTGAAGTTCAGCAGCATAAATATTCATTGCTTTTCTTTTCCATTGGCTTCCTTCAGTCAAACTGTGCAGTTTAAGCAGACTATCAGATAAATATGTAAATAGTTTCTATTGTATGGTGATTTTTAATTTTAATAAACACTTAATCTGAAGAAAGTTGTATGGTAGTAATTTGAGGTAAAACAAATGACTGATGTTCTAACCAGAGTGGTAGCTTCATGTGGAACAGGAGAACATCATTACCACAAACAAGATAAATGGATTCTGCTTTACTTATACCCATTCAGCTTTGATAAGCTGAAAAGGACCAAACCAGCCACTCCTGCATCCTTATTAAGGTTTCTTTTTGGTCTGGAGAGCAGGAAAAAAAAAAAGTCATCAATCCTCCACTGTCCTTTAAAACAGCTTCTCAAAAGTCATTAATGTAATAACAACACAGTCCATTGCAACTCTTTGGAAAACATTACAGTTAAGAATTGGTCAGTACTTCACTATAGGCTTCATTTTATTTTAAGGAAAAAAAAAACCAAAAAGCTTAAGATAATGTAACCTTGTCTTTCAAACTATTTCCTGTAGCCAACCAAATAGCTCTGGGCAGCAGGAGGGAACAGGGAAACAGCAGTTACTCAGGGAATAAGAGGTTATAGTTAGTGTCACAAATTTGATAACATATGCTCTCAGACAAGTGATAGACTGTCAAGGTGTAGCACTAGATCATTTGAAATAGTATTATAGAAAGTTTCCAGCATTAGCCTGTTCTGATGTTTTTTTTTAAAAACTTCTGTTTGAATATTGCTGCTGTTAAAGCAATTTGTACATAACAGCTTTCTTATTCAAGGGATCAACACACAGTGTATAGTATCACTACACCAAAATATTTTTTAGGAGCTGGAATAGTTTTCATGGGAGTAGAACAGCATTTTAGAAATTCTACCCTGGAGATATTATAGGCCTTTAGGACTTCTGGAGCCAGATGATAACCTGTATTTAACAGAAACAGTTCAAGACATAACAGCACTGGCTCAAGTCCTACATCTCCAGCCTGGTTAAAGACATGGCAGAGTTATTACTTGTCACTGCATTTGCACAGATCAACCCCAAACTCAGAAGACCAGGCAAGAACAGTCACACCAGAGAAGGGCTGCTCTCAGTGTCACACAGGAAGGCTGCACCACCTAGTGTCCCCACAGGGAGGGTAAGGTTCTTGCTCTGAGCTGGGTCCCCTTCCACTATGAGAAACAGCCTTATAGGGACTGATCAATCCAGTTTACTTATGGATTCTGCCTTGTTCTAAAGCAATCCTCCAGCACTTACAGGCATGGTTCTTTCACAGTAGTTAGAAAAACCTCTCACCCTCACTGATGGAAATGGCTTTAAGAAAGCCATTATTTCAAACTTTATCATGCTCCAGTCTTCCTTCCTTGAGTTACTAGATAAAGGTAAGTAATATAATCAAGGCTATGATTCTTTCAACTTGAGATCTTCGTATGTCAATCACTATGATCATCTAGCCTTTAAGTTTATGATCTTGCCTTATGTTGATTTCACTGATTTTCTCACCTTTATAAAATGAGCAGTCAGAACTTAACTTAGCAATGGAAAATTTTATTATAAATAGACTTTTCAAAGTTTAATGCATATTCTTAGTGGAAATTCAAATGATATTAAAACAAGTTCCTTCTTTAAAAAGCCAAGTTACCTGAAAAATAGCAAGGAGCCAGATAAGACCTCATTTTGTTGCCTCTTTTAGCAATTTGCTCAGTTCAGTCCCAAGATGGCAGTCTCCAGGTCAAAGCCAGAATATTAACTTCAGAACCAAGCTATTTTAACTATTTGAGATTAAGCTTACAAGCCATCTGATTTCTAGGAATCAACAATGAAATGAAATACTTAATTTAAAAAGGTACTGAGCAGCACATGAGAAACATCCCACTTACTTAGCATGAATCACACATTTATCAGTATAGAAGACCATGATAGCAGTTAGTCAAGAATTAAAATTATATTTCTCAAATCACATCTCTATCAACAGTAAAAGCAGAAGTTTAGACCTAAACTTACATAGCTCTAAATTCAACCCTGATTCAATTAAAAAGTTGTGTATTAAATATTTTCATGTCAGTTAACATGACAGTTGAAGATGGCATCTAAGAGTGAGAAAAAGCTATCAACAGTTTAAGATTGATAAAGAAGCCCAGTAATTGCTCACTTTGATTAATCAAATATTATTCTTTTGCTTTATGAGCAAACAGTACTTGTTTTCTTGAAAAGCATGAAGTACCTTCATAGTTCCCCCAGCCTTCACCAAGAGGTGTACTAGCAGTGGCTGCTACTGTGGATTTCAGGTTAGCCAACAAACCTCTCCTGGGTTTTTGTTGTTTTGGCTCCTCTATAGAGAAATGCTTTTTCCGTTCGTCAAGTTCTTTCTGCAGGGAAGACACTGTTTCTTCAAGCTCAAGAACACGTTTAGCCCAGTTCTGAAGACTATTCATTTCTTGATCCTATGAGGATAAGGCTGTCTTAGGTATGTGAACACTCCAAGGTCTTTTTCATGTAGTTAATTTTCTGTTCTGGATTATTTTACTATACCAGTGAACACCCTTGTTATTACTATGCCAAATGACTATTCAGTAGCCATTCTTCTGAATTACTTCTATGCAATTTAGAGAACAGCAAACTACAGGGCCATCAGATCTAGTTAGAGACCAAGTCTAAGAAGCTGATGCTAAAATGCTTAGCCACACTATGCAAAGAGTTGCTGTTGTTCTAGGAACCAAATAAAGGCAGCTTTCCTGTCTTAACCTGCAATTACTAAAAGCAAAACTGGTCAAATCAAAACTCCTATAGTCGTAAGTCTGCTAACCAGGACTGAATAAGTACTTTGAGTGGGCAGAATACAGAGTCTTAAAGATGCTCTCTAATCCTTGTGGTTAACAAAAAGTCACCTTCTTTGTCTTAGAACCAATTAAAAATTATTCATCTTGAACTTTGTTTCTTAGTGTCAGACTTAGCATGCAGAAGGTAATTTAATGTCAAAGAAAAACATCACTAAGTAGTCTTATACCTGCCTTGCTTCATTTGCAGATTACAAATGAGACATAGATGCGAAGTATCAAGAGTTCAAAATTTTCATTTTTTTTAATTTATGAATCTAGTTGACATCTGAGGTCAGGTGCTGTCAACTTTATGAAGTCCCTGCTTTTGAAGGAAAGATTTCTTCTATTTCAGTATTAATTAGTTTACCTGCCCATATCTCTTATCAAGCTTGGCCACCTCTGCAAGAGTGTCAGTATAGCTTTAAAGCCATAGATCTTAGGTGTTGTTGCACTAACATTTGTGCACTGACACCTTGCTTGCCCTCAGCAAAACACTTCACGACTATGGAGTTCTGAGTAGTATTTTCTTTGCTTGACAATAATTTGTGACACCTTTAGATTAGCAAGAGTTGTCAGCACAGAGTTACCCTATTGACCGAGTCTATCACATAGACTGAAAAATGAATCTTGTCTTACAAAGTCAAGGAGTGAAACACAAGGGTTCTGAGCTTATAATTCAGGAAGTTAGGGATGGAAAAAATGCTAACATCAAAATAAATTAATAAGACTGAACAGTGTTTTTACACATACAAAGATGCAGAAACATCCAGTACAGCTACGGATACAAGCCATATTAAAGTTGCTTTTAAATTGTTGACAAACCTTGAGCATGATTGTATGCTTCAGTTGACTGTTCTCTTCTGCCATTTTTCTGTAGCCTTCATTAGCTTCTAGCAGGGTTTCATTTAATTTCTGTATTTTAAACTTCAGAGATTTTATAAGCTGAAAATAAAACCCATACACATTGAAGTTCTAAACAGCATGTTTTACATTAATTCTGTTTATGACCAGAACTCATACAGACACTGTAAGCATTTCTGATTAATACTGAACAGTGCAAACTGCAAGATCAAAGCAATGAACATGAAGTCTGCTTCTCTCAATCTCCTGTCGCAACCCATCATTTCTGGTGATAAAATACAGCTGGAGCATTCAAGAGCTATTGTGCTGAAGCTACTAGATTTAAACACACCTGTCAGCCAAAGAACAGCAGCACAGACTAAGCTACTTCTGGAACAGTCCGGTCCTTTTCAGTAAAGGTACTTAAAAGAACACTCCCTTCTCGTTAACACTACTCATATAATGAATTGGAGCACAGTTACAACAGAAGACCTCACTTTTCTAGTGAGAATATTGATGGATTAAGTCCTGAGAGGGAAAAGAAACTCTGAACCAGCAAAATTAATGTTCTATCATTAGTTTACTTCTACAAGGTTGGAGGGAAAATAGCTAGACTGCTAAAAAACTCACCACCTTTCACCCATGTTTAATGGCTGAATGGGAGGAAAAACAAGTAGTGAATTACTCATCAAGCATGTACAGATATGTGAGGCAAAGCAGCAGAAGGGCACGGATGGAACCAACTGCTTTAAATTGCTCTCACTTCAGTAATTGCCAGGCAGCATTCCCATCATTCTAACACTTTCTAGCCACACAAAACAATCAATACTGTATCCCCATATAAGCATAAAAGCCAAACTTTCATCAAAATTTTAAACTGACATAGGAAATGGAAAAATTATGTAGAGCTCTAAAGAACAGGAGTGAAAAACAAATGCCAGGGCCATAACATGAGACATTAAACTTGGTAAGGAAAAAGTTATTTTTGGAGTACACTTTCTCAATAGAAAGGGATTTAAGTTCACTTTCCATTTACATGGTTTATTAGAACCAGCTGGAACTATTTCTCCAACCCCTATTCCTACTTGTTGTTAGTGAAAGGAGCAAGGCTTGTCTCTTCCCCACTCCTCATCATCTTTAAACATGGGAAACTAACTGTAGCCTTACAAGACGTTCATTCAAGGTACAGACTAAAAATGCATACCTAAAAATAATTAGTATTTGTTTTCCACTCACAGCCTGAAGCTCCTAATTTCTACCTCTATATGCTAATCGGAACACAGGGATCTTGTTTGTTTGAAGAACAGACACATTACCCTTTACTTAAGTTTAAGGGGATAGTGGAGTTCAGTACTTACAGAAAGTTTGAGGCACTATTTTGGCTCTAGATCTAAACTGTTACCAGATTCTGTAACTGTTCCCCTGCACAAGAGCAGGCAGCATTTCAGGAAGGAAAGCACTGAGGCCGTAACAGTAATCTTTACAACAAATTCCAATACAAGGCTATATACTTCCCTACTTCCAACTCGCATCATGTTAACCATTGGACTTGTTACAGTAGTAGATGCCTTTACAAACTAGAGTAAAGCCAGAACACAGCCTATCTCTGGCAAAAGTCATCCACAATTGGTCAAGGGCTTTTTTGTAAATTTGACACCCATTTGCAGGAATCTTCATGCTTGTGTCTACAGTGCAGATCTTTAAGCATTGAACTATGCCAGCGTTTAGGACCGTTATCCCCAGATTTGTTAAATACTAAGCAAGAGCTACCTCTTCTTTCTCTTTGCATTGTTTCTGCAATCCTTCATTGGCTCTCTTCATCATCTTGTTCATAAGATCTATAGGCAAAAGAAAGGTTTGCTTTTTAATACACAATACCAAAAGTAAATTGAAATTTGAATATCCAGATTAGATTCCTACCTAGTTCCATGTTATTTTCAGTAGTCAGTATATCTGAATTTGGACCTCCCAGAGCCAACAGCCTCCTTGACTGTTCATCAAGTTGCCTTTCCAATTGCAGTATTTTACTCTCTCTATCCTGAAAAAAAAAAAAAAGGCACATGGTAGAATTTGTCTAAATTTCTGCTTAACCTGATGCACTACTGCACGTCCTTCAATTATACTACACATGTATATGCAGTTTTACAATCATTTCACAGGTGGAAGTTGTGATGGTTATGGTTGAGAAATCACAGTAAGGAATAACACTCAGATCATGAGACCTTCTAGGAGGAAGTTACTTTACACAGGAGTCAACTCTTCCAGTCTGAATATTTCCAAACTGTATTAAAAGTAGCTATATGGGAGAAAAGAAATTTCAGTGCATCTGTGTTAAACACTGTTGTCAATTAGCTTGCTAAATAAGGAAGAACATATTTCATAGAACTAAATTTTAATCTCAATCTCTTTTTCAGTACCTGTCAGATTGCTAGGGTGGTATTTCAGAGTGAGAAATCAAACAAGTGTCACCATCAAGAAAACTTATTCATCTAATTCTGGTTCTCTGAAGCTGCCCACTCAGATTTCATGTTGTGCTCTCCTTTGTCAATTAAGAATTTTACATCTTAGGGATTTCGTCAGTCTCTTATCTGACTTGCTACCAAGACCATCTTGCTCTTTGAATCTTCCCTTATGCAGCCTTGTGGCCAGTGTAAAAGGCAGCTATAAATACAGAGAGCACTATTAATACTCATTTTCCTCGACCCCAACACAGTGTATAGCTAGGGCTTAAGTGAACATAAAACCAGAGTCTAAGGTGGGAAAAAAGACAAGTGTGAAGGAGCTGGAAAAAGAGGCCATTACACAATACAGTGTTGCTTGTCAGCACCTGAATGGAGAGCTGTAAAAGCAGAAATGTTTATGTATCACAATCTAACACAGGAACCCACTTCCCTCATGCCTTTAAAGGAACCTGCCTACCAGTGGAGTGAGATGTCTTATCAGTTCCTGGACAGGAGAGTGCAGTGAGAACACCTCTGGTGTACACCACAGTTGTTCTATTCTTCCACTACAGACCTTCTGAAAAGGCTTAGACCCACGGGTCTCATCTGTTGCCCGGATACACTTAGCCATCTATGCAGAGGCTAGAAGTAAAGACTGGTAGAGTTGCACACAGCTAACAGGGCTAAGTTGCAAAAGGAATAGCAACTTACCAATGCCAACTCTGAGCCGTTCTAGGTATAAGTACATTCAGGAGATTAAGTTCTCTCCTGCATAAAGTTTGATTTCTCATCACAGTTTCTTATGCCACAATCCTCCCTCTAGATCTTCAGAGCAGAAATCCATTATAGTTAAAATAGCTACCCTATACTAAATTCCCCACTGCTCTTTCAGACTACTTTTTTACTCTACACCCTACAATGCCAAGGATCTTCACAAAGCCAGACTGCTGCATACACCATCCCTCTAAGTGTTCCAATCATTGCACTACAGAGATAAAGATGACTTGGAGTTGACTGAAGTGTGCCCTCAAAGATGAGGAAGTTTAGGTATACACTACAGGTAGTGTTAGACAGAAGGCATCTCTATCCTTGTGGTTAGCACTGGACAATAGAACAGCTAGGCTGAACTGCTAGTTATTTTGACTGTTCAGCATCACATTTAGGATTCTCAAATGATTCTGTTGTGGACAAGCAAAATTTACGGTTAAGAGGCTAGCATGCATTTTTTAGCAGTGAAGTCATACCTCAACTTTCTCCTGTTCAGCTAGAAATTCTTCTATGGGAACATAATGGTCTTCAATTTGTTCCATTGCACACACATATGCATGTTTCTTGATTGCCTCTTTATACATTTCAAATTTGCTCTCCAGTTTTTCTTCATAACTGTCTTTCATATCTTCCAAGCGGTTGCTGAGGAGAACATGTTAGCTTTAATATATTAGCATTCCAGCTATTACAATTTGACTACATGTGTTCAATTGGCAATATCAAAATTATTCATCTAATCATAAATAGTGAAGTTAAGAGACCAAGAAGTACTTTTTTCCCTTTTCTCCTTTTCATTCTCAATGATCCTACAGACCTGCACCAAGGCATAACTTCTACTTGGCATATACCAAGAAAAATGCTACAGAAGAACACATACTTAAGATCTGTCAAACAAAAGTATTATAAAAAAAAAATCCACCAACACGTAGTTGAAGCATATTTCCAGGGGGGTGTGTCTCACATTGGGTTTGGTTTTTATTTTTCCCCTTACAAATAAATGCCAAAATCATTTTGCCTTATTATTTCAATATATCACATGTTACTCCTGTCACAATTTAAAAAAATGCCCCAGCAGTGACACAGAACATTACCTCAACAGAGAAAAAGCATCACTGCTGTTTTATGTGTTTGGCCAAAGGCACCCAAACAATTTTAAAGTCAGTGCAGGTGTTAAACCATAGTGTGTTCAGCTGGCAACTTAACTTGGGGTTAGTCTCTGTTAGCAATTCAAACAGCAGGAAACTGATTTCAAGAAGAAAGAGTTAAGAGGAAGTGAATTCAACTTGAGGAATCTGGACACACTTGAAAAAAAATCCCCAAATTAGTAACATCAGTGCAGGCAGCCACAGTAATTTATAAGATAGTAAGCTAACAATGGTTCATAAGTCATCCAGGAGCAAGAATCCAGGAGAGCTCAGAGAGATACAATTCAAACTGCCTTAAGCACATGCACACATATTAACATGACCAAGTGTAAGTTTTGGAACAATCACAAGACTTAGTGGGGTACCTGTAACAATCTTCCACATCTGCTAAATATTAATAATTAGTCAGGACAATCTCCAGTAATTATAAATTAAACAGAGAAAAGTTCAACAGAAAGCAGCATTACTTTTTCATTGTACACAGGAAGAGGCTGATCTATACAAGTTTAATGTTCCTTCTTCCATTTTCATCAGAAGCTTTGAAACTGTCCAGCCCTAACTTCTCTAAATAACATGAGTATGCATGTCTTGCATATACATATATATGTGCATATATAAATGTATGCATTTATACATGTGGAATCCTTCAAGTCTCGAAGAGGACTGCAATATGACTTGCCTCCAGGCTTCCTCTGTTTCCAACAGCTGTCGGAACATTGCTTCTGCCATCTCTCTACGTATCTTCACCTCCAGAAGGAGTTTACTTTGTTTTTCTGCAACTAGCTTCTCCTTTAGGTTCTCTGTAGTTTTCAAGAGATCCTAAATTTAACATATTTCAGTTCAGAAAACAAACTAGAAACACATATTGATATGCATGTCAAATGAAACATTCATACAGAGCCATCCACAGAGGGCATTTCTAGAAGCCTCTATTTTCAGGCAGGCTGCACCAGAGGTTAAATATTTTCAAATGTGAATTTCTACCGCAAAGTCAACCTTTCTCCATCTTGATGGTTTCTGCTATCAAAAAGTTTACTACTATTTTGGCATTTAAATATTAATTTGTACAACTGTTTAACATAAAGCCTACTTGATCTTTACAGTTTATTGCTATTAGATTGTATAGCTTTGTTTTTAAAATGCTACACAACTTGTTCCTGCTGTTCCCAAAAGAGCACAAACGACTAAATAATGTTGTTTTAAACACACATACTGCTTCCTTACTCTTCTCCTTGAGCAATCAGTTGAATTCCAAATTTAACACTTGACCTAACTAGAAAGCTACACGCAGCCTTCCACAACTACACTTGTTCCCTCGGAATTAGACCACTTTAAGTCTAGGTCTGCCTGACACTGAACAGAAGCTTACAGTTCTCATTTGATACAGCTTCCAGCACATCTCTTGTGTTAAAGATTCTAATATTAGCACTAATAGCAATGGCTTTCTTGGGTACAGTTTTGAGTAGATGTGTATCTACCTCATGACTCAGAATGGTGATGTCCACTTCCTCTTCTGCAGAGGTTTCAGTACTGTCAGGAAAGTCATCTACAGATGTGTTAGCATCAAAGTGCACAATAGGTTTGCCGTTGCCTCCAACTAGCTTGGGTGGAAAATAACCAAAACTTTTGGGTAGGATTGTCTGGATTACCTGGAAAATCCGGAGTTGAACACACTGATTTATCAATGCTGTCAATATTGCAGATATCAGAATACTAGGAAGAAGTGGCATGAATGCATTGTTTTATTTACATTATATTTAATATACAAGAACATTAACAAAATTTTACTTATCTTTTAGTAAACAAAAACATCTATCAATACGAATATAAGAATTCAGTACTCTAACAAAGTGAAAATGGGAAAGATGATCGACTAACAAACTTAGTAATGCTTGTCTAGAAAGGTGTTTTCTCTCCCCTAAAATACGAGGTTTTAGCATAGTTTCCGGGGAAGTTAATGAAAAGCAGCAAATCCCTAACACATCTGCTCCTTCCTGAAATACTGTGACCAGGATTCAGCAATTCTTGCTAGTTACGTAAATATTTTAAGTATGTATGTCATAGAACAACACATCAGAGAAGCTTGTCTCCTCAGTGCACACTCTTACCTTATGATGAAAGTTGCAGCTGAAAAGAATTAGAAAAAACTTTCTCTCAGAGCATATTAGACATGTCATTACATACTTGGAACATGTCAGAACTAATCCATGGTTCCAGACTAGAAAAGGACTTTATTTCTGCCATGAAACACAGCATAGCACACCATCCCACTCTGCAAGCAGCAGCTTCCAGGGAAACTGAATGAACTTAAGACCAAGCATCAATCCCAAGACCTGAATTTAATGGGAGGCTGACAAGCAGAGCTAGCAGAAAAAGCATGAAAGCATGTCGACTTAACAGAGGGGGTTTTCCCTTCAAAAGAGAGGAGCACACTACCTTCAAGCATTAACTTATCAATGAAAAGTCTTCCCTTTTTGTTTGTTATTAGTTACTTGCACTTAACCAAACAGGAGCAATGCAGACACAAGAGATCTCATTTAGGCTACAAAATGAGAAAGAAGCTACTTCTTTTACTACCACCATTAGCTGTCCAACAAGTTTTGAAGAATTGTCATCTTGTGCAACAGATGCTTAACTGCACACAGGTTAAACAATTCATCAAAAGCTTGAATTGAAATCTTGCATTTGCTCAGATATATGGCATAACCAGTCATATCTGAAAGTCCCCTGACTAATTTTTACACAGAACTGAACAAGCCAGACAGCTGCAGCTATCTTAACTTCTTACCGCAAATAGGCTTGAGGATGTGCGAGACTATTAGAAGCCTTTTAGAGGGAGGCCACATGCAGAAGAATTGATATAATGCATCAAAAGTCCAAATCACACAAGTCCATGCAACCTGATCATTTCACAAACCAACAGTAACAAAGAATGCAGAATAGCAGAGAAAGTAGATGCACTCTCACCTGTTTGGCTATAGCTGAAAACTTCATTACATGTAGTGTTTCATCATATGTGGAAGCATGCTGATTAATGTTTACAATCATACAAACTTTGCCTTTTCCACAAAAGAACGGCTGAAACAGACGAGTCAATTTGCTCTCTCTGAATGGAATATAGCTTGGCTTCATCCTCATGGAGAAAAGAATAATAAAATTGTGAAACAAAAAAAATTGTAAAATTATGTGATACTGTAACTTAGCTTAATTCTGTTTCTCTTTCAGGAAAGAGATTCAGTAGGATGCTCATACTTAAGCCTGAGCTTTTTCACATCAAAGAGCAAGGTCTTTCCTGGATCTCATAAGCTCTCCAACAAGCTGAATTATTTAAAAGTAAAAGTAGTATAGTGTCTGCATCACAGTTCCCTAGTGTTACAACGTGGATACTGGAACAAGCCAAAAGCTAAGTACAGGACATCTGTCAGCTGTCTGATGAATCTACCTGTATAATTTGGAGGTGGAAGGGAAGAGGACAAAATAGGAGCTCTGTACACAAAGTGTATTGCTCATACACACACACACACTAAAAAAAGCTTGGTAGTTTGCTGCTAATTGCCCTTTTTTATTCTCCACAAACAAGTTTTAGAAACAAAAAAAGTTCATTTCAGGTGTTCCAGTGACATCTATAATAAAGAAAGCTTACAAGATTTTGTAGATTTCAATTTTCCTGTGACTATGCAAACCTCTCACAGAAACATAAAGGGATGCTTAGGGTTTCAGCCTAAAACTTGGCATGTTGTTTACAACTTGTCACTTACTTCGGATTTTGATTTTGCTTCAATGCTGCAATGCATTTTCCAAGGATATGAAGAGAATTATTAATATTTCCTGCTTCTTTTAGTCTATCTCCAAAGGCTTGTGTTTTATTACACCTCTCTGATCCAGCCAAGTCACAGAAAGATAACCTGCATGAAAGAATTATCCAGAACACACATATAAACTTGTTTCTAAACAGTATGAAAATAGAACTGCATGTTTTTTTGATTTCTTTATGTATCTAAAATGTAAATGAGTGGCTCATTTCAGCCTACCTAGATCACAGAATAAGTTGTATTTTAATGTTGACATCTTGTCCAGGAGGCATTATGCAAGGTATTTAGGATAACAGCAATAACCTATCTTCCCATTGTATATAAAGACACTTGAACAAGATTGCTGCTCCTAAGACAGTCTATTCAGCATATTCAAAGAAGTCTGCCTGTAGCATTCATCTAAAATTTTGTAGGCATTCTTACATAAAGAATTCAGTTTGGGAACCCAAATTGTGTGGCAATCCTAAAGTAAGGACTTCCGGACAAGATAAGAGGGATTTCTGAAACAATTTTGCATAGCAGGGCTATACTACAGAAGCACTTTGACCATCACCTTCACCAGTTCCAGCACTGAAAGGATTGCAGGATAGTAGTATGCTTCAATACACTGCAGTCTGCCTCTTTTGGCTACAGAACCATTTGTTCACTATTGCAAATAAGAGGCCAGAAGTCCTTCCCAGATCACCTTAGAGCTCTTTGTTTGGCTACAGCAATTACATGCTACTGAACTTAGGCTACCGAGTTGTCCCTCATGGTACAATAGGTTACAGTCAGAAGCAATTATCCTGGATAATCAAGGAATTTCATCACTTTTTCTTCATATTAATAAAGCCCTTGAAATACAGGCATCTCTGGAAGTTCAATAGTTTATGTAACCCAACTATTAGTCACTTATATATAAATTTATATATACGTAAAGTAACACCTTTGTAAGATCATAGCCTTTCACACAGCTGAAGTACATATTAATACTATACATATTAATAAGGCACAGATTTCAACAGTGTGAAAGGCTATGATCTTATGATCTTCATCCTTTTCAGTACACGATTAAGAGCTTTTTTCTTCCTTAAGCAACACACAGACTCTGTCATTCATCTAACAGCTGCTGCAAGCTCTGCCAGGGGAATACACCAAGACAGGGAACGGCAAGGAATAAAGATGCAGTCATTTCCTCAAGTTGTCTTTCCTTAGAGTATTTATCACTGTTATGTCTGACATTAAAAGCTCTTATCCCTCTGCTCAACAGAGACAAGAGAGAAATCAGTAGGAGCTAGGACTGAACTAAACCACTCTGTTACAAGGCTGTCCTCATTTTTCCATATCAAGCTAAATGGACAATTAATCAGGAAAAAAAAAAAAGCTATCTAAATGGCTTCAAATCAAAAGATTAGGCCACTTTCTCTAAACCACAAAAGAACAGAGGGCTGTAAGGACTTAGCACTGCTCTCACAGGGTGCACCTACATCAGCACTTTAGATAAGGAGAACAGTTCTTAAGCAAATCACTTGATGGTTCCCTCTTACTGTAGATTGTACCATGGAGCAGTCCCAGAGCATGTTCACTTGCATTCTTTTTGGATGATAGACTTAAATTTGCATTCCAGGAGCACATCAGATATGCTGCCACAAACATTCAACCCATAAACTCTAGTCTGGTCCCAAAGTAGAAAGATACACTGGCATAGCTCGCACCTTCGGTCTTCAGCACTAACTGCTGCACTCCAACTTTAGAGATTGGCATCTATCAGCCAGCCATTTGAATTCTGCTTACTGGAATATATAGTGTGGTACTACGTAGTACTACTCTGTCCCCATCTCCCCATTATGTAAGACTATATATATATATATATATTTCCCTCAATTTGCATACATACTACTGACAGAGTTTTAACAGGTTCCTTCAGCCAAACCTTAACAGAATGACAACAAAACACTTCTACATCTGTCCCTACCAGGTTTCCAGTCAGTTTTATGCAGCCAGTGGAGTTCTGATTTCCTTCTCAGCTCTCAGAGGATTTGTTTTTTAAAAGAAAGTTCACCAGTTTAGCATGCTTACACCTTATCAACTTTTCTAAAATATTTACATTCTGGTAATCAGCTGAAGCAATCACTTACTCTGAAACTCCAAGAACACGGGGCTGATGCTCGTCAGTCAGCTTTAGTAGCCTGATTGAAAATATACTGTGACTGGAATGGAAAGAAGTCCTTTTTAATAACCACAATTATGAAAATTAAGCAGTCACTGAAGCAAAATAAAATTTGTTTGCTACAGAAAGTTCAGTGATGAAGAAAGAACAAGAATTAATTCACTAATTTACATTAGTTACCTTCACAATGCATTCATTCAGCAGCAAAAAGAGGCAATAAAAGTTGTATTTTGTGACTTTCCATTTCTTTTGATGCAGGAAAGGGAAAAATATCACATGAAGCCTACAAGCTGTCTTGGAGAAAAAACAAGCTGGTTCACTTAAGTCTACTGATCAGAAGATGAGTACTCAGGTAGCCACTTTGTATGCAAACTTTAGGCAGTATCTGAACTCAGTAAATCTGAAGAATTAACTTAGTAATAAATAGGTTGCAAACAGAAGGGAATTAAGTTAAGGTTCGACAGTCCTGTAATCTTGCCTACTTCAACATACACAGTTGTTTGTTCTGTTGTGAAATTACTCTGTTTTCTAGAAAGGTTAAATTTGTAACACGTGAAATCCAGTTATTCTGTTTTAAACATCAACCTACAAAGACAGTGGACATGCTGTCTGAAACCAAAGAGAAAATCCCAGAGCCAGAAGTGCCCTGTACCCAGTTTATTCAGTAAATCAGGAACAACAGAAGACAAACTTCTCTAGTATATTTAAAGCAGTGCTTTACTTCTTAGGATCAACCCACAATTTAAGAATGAAGTTTCTAACAAAAAAAAAAACAAACAACCAACCAACAAAAAAACCCCAAACCAAAAAACAAACCCAAAAATTTAGAAACAAGCTAAGTGGAAATCCGCATATTCTCTGGAGCAAAAAAGAAGACATTCTAGGTACAAAACTGCCAGAAAAGCAAACAATTCTTTTCCACACTACTTGAGGCTTGAGTGAAATTCAGGTGGAATCAGCATGAAATTTAGCGGCAGCTGTCTTTAGCTAATACAGAACAGCGTTAAGTCTTGTGTTTTAGAGAAAAAGCAGGCTTAGTAACACTATGAATATATTATCTAAATATACAACATGGCCCTTAAACACTTAAAGGACAAATTAGTAAGAGGACATTAAAATCAGGTAAGAAGGCATTTTCAACAGAATGTATACCACCTCCTCTATTTCCTCCCACTCCATCAAGCCAGATTCTCCCTGATCCCTCTCCAGAGCTGGGTAAGAGCTAGGAGCTTAATTCTTAAGATACCAAGTAAGCTCAGCTAGAACACAGCAATCTAAAAGCATCTAGATAATCTAGCAGCACTGCAAGGTACTGCATGACTTGCTCCTTCCTACATCCCCTACTGACAGGCTCCAGGTTTCCAAGAACTATACTGCCAGTGATGAAGAATTATCCAGCTTTTCCTTCAACATCCTCACACAGCTATTCCCACTCAGCACCATTAGCATTTGCCAAGATGTACAGCCCTGTTGGCACTCAAAAATGAATGTGATTTGATCTTTTTGGTTGTCCAAAGCCATGAATAGCAATCCAAGTCCAGATACTATTAAAGTCAAAGGGCCTCTCCTAGCTTTCTTCCAGAAAGAATTTCATAATAAAACCTGAATAATCAAGAAAAGTCTTAAACTATTATTGAAGAGTGGTTCATTTTAAACATATTCTAAAGTCTTCTTCTCCCTTCCCCACCTCCCTCCCCTTAAAAGAAAAGGGACAGAGTATGCTTATAATTAGAGGAACAAACCTCCTACTTGATTGCTCATTCATTCTAGTACAAGCAAAGCTTCGGTTCTTGTTTCCTATTTTTAGTATTTTGCAGGCTTCTTCAGTGGTCTGAATGTTAATCCACTTTAAATCTGTGAAAAGAAACCTTTTACATACACTTCTGATCATCAAAGAAATTCTGTGAAACTGCTGAGGTCATAAACCAGTATTACCTTTAACATAAGAATTTCCTCCTTGATCCTCACAAATTCTTAGGACTCTGCGCTTCTGAGTTTTTGATGTAGATAATACATTTAATAGGTCATACACATATTCATTATAAATTTCACAAAAGGAAATCCACACAGATGCCTGTGTTCTTTGGTGTATCTTAGTTCTATATACATCAAGTGAAACAAAGTTCTTCTCTGCTAACCCAAAACAGAGAAAGAGTTCAATGACCAAACAATTCATTTGATAAATTTTAAGTACAGTGTATAGAACCTTCTAAAAGGAGGAAGCTTGTATATATCTGTCTTGTACAATTAGATACACAGTATTGCATAACTCTGAGTTTACCCGAGAGCATTAAAACTTCTCAGCAGTCACCTGTAACCAGAATATGCCCAAGTTCTAAGCTATTGCCCCCCTCTACCACAAGCTTCCAGCAGTTTATACGTTAGCTTTGCAGAACTCCCCCAAAAGGAGCAAAGCTATCAAAGTATTTTTACATAGTTACTCTTTCTCCAGAGTTGAGCCATTAAAACTTGGTTAAAAACTACATATATTTACTTTGTAGTATACTACAGAGATTTTTTTAATCCGCCAATAGTTACCCACTTATATTCCTCAATTTCTATTAATTGTTTTTCCACTTTATTTTACCTAGTGAATCAGAAGGAAGACTTTTTGAAGTACAGTTGGAAGAATCCGACTCCACATCACACATATGTGTTATAGTATTTGAGATGCTTTCTGTCTCCTTGAGAAAATAAGAGACCATTACATTCACATGAACAGACTATGAGAACAGCAGAAGTTAAAAATGACAGTAATTCCAGTATTTAAGATTTAAATATTGAAGTAGTATTAGGTGTTAAGCCACGCTTAGTCTGGCTGCTAATGAAATGTTTTTAACAGTACTGAACTTAAATCAATAAACACTTCTTCCCTCACAAGAATTATTGCTCTCTGCTACTCCCAGCAACCTGTTTTGGAGGCCAACTGCTGCTAACATAGGTGACTGACTTTACAGTTCTGGGAGAAACAAGATCCTCTGTCAGACTGTGACAGCCCAGAATGCCTTTATGAACTACTGGACAAATCTGAACAGCACTTCAGTCAACCAAAAGAACTGGAGAAGTTTATTTCAGGGGTAGAGACAGCAGGGTGGTAGGTAGTACAGAGACTAAAGCAGCAGAGATTCCTAATTTGCTTGCTTGTTGCAAATCACTTTTGCAAATCACAGGCTTGTGCCACGTCTGTGAGAGTATGAGTCAAACTTACTTTAAGACCTCAGAGTGAAATGACAGCTTCATAAAGGACTTAAAAGATCTGATAAACCAACAGTCTATGTTGGTTTAATTCAGACTGAATTAAAAGGCCATTAAAAATCCTATATGGATACAACAGTTTAAGTACACACATTTGCTGAATTTCTTTACATCAACAGACTTATTTAAAAACCTGCCAAGACTTGACATAGGCTTCAAATTACCCCTAGGAAAACTAGTGTAACGAAGTAGCAACTCCCACTATGTAGATATTCCAACATCTCCACATATTACTTCCCTCCCCATATTTTGTACACCAATATAAATTTTCATTAGGACATTCACCCTGATTTCCCAAAACCCAATCCTGACAGAGGGTCATCCTACAAGAGAAGAGGGGAACAGATTCAAAGAAGTAAACCATAACGTTCTAGCTATTCAAATGCAGTGCTAAGTTCATTATTATGGAGTGTCTACTGATGCCCATGTTACTCACTTGGTATATCCAAAATGGAATTTTTAGAAGAGAAAAGTATGAAGCCATACTTTCAGATCTTATATTTTAAAGATGAATAGCATATGATTTTGTTGTCATTTATTTTATAAGTGACCATTTTGCAAAGACTGCACTGTCTATATGTTTATATTTTTTGAGTAGTTACAAGTATAACCACAAGCATGGATTCTATTCATTCTGTTTGTGAAGTACAAAGCAGAATTCTAAAGCAGGGTATGAGACTGACAGGCATGGCACATCTACATGTGTCAAAAATGTAATGGAATGTAAAAAACCCAGTACCACAGTACTCGTGCATGTGATAAGTTTTTGTAAAGTATTTCAAGAAAACTGAGTGAATTAGCTATTTTGCTACACTGTTCTCCAAATCATAAGACCAAATACAGAAAAAGAGCATGAAGGTGACTGCCTGAAAACAAGTAGGAACAGGAACTTTCCTGTTCAGTTTCCTGTCACAGTTTCCCAGTGACAGAAGCTGACATTTAATAGCAAATACAGGGACAGGTGGGAATAGGAATGCAAGTAAAGCAGCTTTTAATCCAGTAAAAACCAGTATTTAATCCCATGAATAGAACAAGTAAAGGAAGGAAAAGGAGGGTGTGAACTATGCCAAGCAAGAGTTTTTGCAGCAGTACTATATAGAGAACATAAACAGTAGAACATTAAATACAAGGGTATTGCAGTAACTCAGAGCAGTTTAAACAGAGAATGAAAGGAACAGCAAGCTCTTTCTGCATAACATGTAAACTGAGCCTGGGAAAAGGGCCTACAGAAATCCATGTAAACCAAAACCAAGCCCACCAAACCATATCTGCTCTCAGATTACAAGCTTGAGTGAGCATCAGAACAGTGATGCTATTCATTCACAAGCTATCAAGAAGCACGGCTTCAGTACTGGGGATAGCCGAGCTATCACTATGGAAGCATTGTAACACACAAGCAAGGTCTTGTCTTGTATTATTTTCTAGATGCATTTTTACCTTTCCTTCCTGATGGTGGAGTCTTGCTCGCTTTTCACTGTAGCGCATGAGCATCTAGATCACCTACTGTAACATTCAGTAACTAAACTATTAATAAAGTCAGACTGTGATTTAACAGAAAGGAATATTTGTAAAGTATAGAGTTATCTTCCAGAAAGGAATATTTGTATAGTTATCTTCAAAGTAAGATATTTGACCTCCTGTTCTAGACCTTGAGCTCCTTCTTGTCCCTTCTTGCAAGCTTGTAGGTTCCATAAAGTTTTTAAAAATATTTACCTACTATCCTCCTGACCATCTCAATTTTTCTTTAACACCCCCACCCCCTGCACACGCACATACACAGTGTGAGTGAGCTTTTAAGACACTCTCAAAATACGCAGTCTTTAGCATCTTCTAGATTTTTTCATCCGAGATTTTTCCTCAAAAGTTAACCAGACCCAGACTAAACAAAGTTTGGTCTGCAGAGTTTAAATTAAGCAATAGAATTTAGAGTGGAACTTTACATATGAATTTGATTCATAGAAGGATATTCTTTCAGAGCTAAATGGAGTACTTTAATACCAATGTTGTTAAAGACCACAGAAAAAAAGAAAGCCCAGCAATTATTACTTCTATACTTCCCAGAATTCATTCAGAGTTGCTTTGAAGGATACTCAGATAAGCCTACTGCATTTTGGGATTAAACACACAGAATCACAGTTCAGGTTAAAAATGTTTTGAACAGGAAAAAAAGCCAGACATCTTGTGACAATTTGCAACTGGGCTTAGAACAGTCACACACAGAAGGGTGCTCATTTTCTGGTGAGACCCGTTTCTTACACTGAAAACAGAAATGACTAGATAAGGAGAACAGGAAGCTGCCACAGTAAAAACTCCTCTATTCTACCTACAACCTTCAGAGACCAGAATTAAAGATACATACAATCCTCTAAAGCAGGCTGTAATCCTTTTAGGAAATTATTTTTGTGGCATCTCACTTCACTTGCTGTATCAGGAAAGTTTCTTTATGAAGTTATATAATCACAGGTTTACAAACTTTTTAATCTGCCTTAAGACTGTCTTCCACCAAAAGGGACGCTTCTGCCTTCCTCGCTGCCCATGCTAAGTCATTGCCACCATCTGTCCTGAGGTAGTACTGGAATTTGAGCAACTGCCCTGAGAAGCAGCCTGGGAACCTGACCCAAAAGAAGATTCACTTAAGAAGCAGGTTTTAGATAGGTCAGCTCTCAGAGACTTTTCAAGAGCTAGTGTCACCACAGTGTCAGAACTGCTCCTCTATAGAAATCCAGGCTTTGGCTTTGCAATGGTTTTTGGTTTGAACTGTGCACTGCCTGCTGCAGAAAGTTCTTCCAGTTTACCCTGAGCTTCAAAACCAGCCAGTTGCCTTATTATTCCAAGGTTCACCAAGTATCCATATTGTATATTTAGATAAATCTAAAGAACCAATAGTGAAACAGAGATTTTATTAAAGATAATCTGTTAGGAAGCTTTTAAGAAGCTTCATTCAGTAGCAAGGAAGTATTTGGCCACTGACCTCTTTCAGTGATGCAAGAATAGCAGTTTTTATGGCTTCTTCTTGCTTAACTTGTGCATCTTCCAGTTTCTTAACATTGTTGCTCAAATATGGTTTGAAGTTCATCTTCAGGTAATGTCTTCCCCTTATGTGGTTAAAAACCACATCAAGTGAGCGAGGTAAAATACCAAAATCTTTTGAAGTCCCTTAAAAATAACAAAAGACAAAATGTAGACAGACATTCATATAAACTTCTCATTGGATTTTTGACTTGGTTGTTATATATGCTTTTTGGCAAACATTTTATACCTTGGATGGTGAATGTCTTGCCTGCATTTGTAACCCCATAAGTAAACACCAGTCCATTCACTCCATTAACATATGCTCTTACTATCTCTTTCATTGAGCCTTCAAAAAATTCATGCTGAGTAGTTTCTGGTCCAAAGACCTTGGAGAAGTTAAAAAAAAAAAGATAAAAAAAGGAGTGATAAATGGCACAAAGAAGTTTAATATATCAAAATACTAAGCACTGATTAATAGTGACTAGCTTTTCAGAGCAAGCTGAGTAGGAGATATCAGCTTAGATTTCTGTCTTGCCTGAACCCTTTCTGATTCAGCATTTTCTGTTGGGTTCTCATAGGATGCCTGCTTAATTCTGAGAGGCACTCAGGCTTACACTTATTTTTTAATATTTTCCTACATGTAAAATCAACTGCTCAGAATGCTACTGAGCACATACTGTTTAGCAGATACTTTCAAGAGCTCTGCTGGTGATGCACAACTCCCTCCTCACTCTGCACAAGACCCACCATTGATGAGATCAGCATTACAATGGTCTAAATGACTCAACACCTGGAGTTGTTTATCTTTTCATACTGTAAGAACATAAGTTCTTGCAGTAGGTAATAGAGTTAAGAAACTTACTTCCAGTATAAAAAGTTTAAGCAGTTAGGCTACTATTCTTTCAAAAGTAAGTCCCTAAACACATGCTTACATATGTCCCTTTAAACATGTGATTTCCTGTAACACTTCCCAGATGAGGGCATCTGCAGGACCAGCAGAACCACAGTAAGTTTGTGCCTACAAGAAGCTTCTATGGCATCTAATCAAAGAAAACAACAGAGCTGCCAGAGAAGCTTGCTTGTCTCATCTAATATGCAACTCCATTGTAATACAGCTTTCTTGACAGCCTAACAGCAAATAATAAGCAGTCTAGTTTTTTTACTGCAAATACCACATGTAATAAAAAAAAATTGCACTGTATGATATAGTAGAAAATTCAATTTTTATCATCATAGTGGAAACAAAAAAAACCCAAACTATAACTAAAAATTAGGAAAAAGTTTGCCTACCTGAGAAAAGGTGAACCTGTGCACAGAATGACCAATCCCTCTTTCACTGTTTTTCGTTGCAGAAGACTCTTTGGGTGCATTAATAACAACTGTCTGGGGATCTTCAATAGTTACACAACCCTTAAAAACCATAACAAGGTAAACCAAAACACCATGCAAAATTATTTAGGAAGCTAGCTATCTGAAGAAAAACAAACCAACTCAAAACAAACTAGTGTTTTCATCTATTTACCAGAGCTACGAACAGTTGCAAAATTTACACAGAATCTCTCAAGGCATGTAACAACTAGAGAGATAGCCACTTCACATGAAAGCCAGAGCATAGACAAAGTTAAGGCAATTGCCTGGAGTTTTCCAAGAGGTTTAAAAATTTTCTAGGATTCCTTCCAGCAACTTTTTTTTTTTTAACTTTCTAAACCCTGGTATTTTGTGATTGTGGCTCGCAGTACCCCACACAGCTATGAAAACAAAGCTATACAGAAATTTAGTGGTTTTGCACTTCAATCATTTTCAGTGTGAAACAAGCTATGACCAGCATAAATAAAGTAAAAAAGTTTGAAGCATTAGCCTTTGATTGATAGATGATATTATCAGCAATGAAGGAAACTGAATTAGTTTCAAGACTAATTTGATTGCCTTTTCTCAATTAAGTAAAGGCAAAATACAATTACCTAGCATTCACTAACTAGATACATATAAAATGTAGCATCACAGGAAAATTTATTTTACACTAGACAGGCTACCAAAAATACAAACCGAAGTACCAGTATAGCTTAACAGTGTCTTGAAGTACCAGCTGCAAGTATTGATTGTAACTAAACCTGACATTTATGTTCAGAGGCTGGCCAGAGTTGGTGAGACTAATAATCTATGTGTAGCACGTACACAGGAAGTACTGCTCTTCCTAGGATACTCAATTAAAAAGTCTGTTTATAAACTGGTATGGAAGTTCTAAGAAGCTAGGTACTGAATTTACACCAATCACTTGCTCACTGTGGAAGGCTCTAAATGCATATACTCTTTAACATTCCTCCACATTGCCAGAACAGGCATGCCGGTCAGATGTACTAAATCCTAGAGAGCTACAGAAGAATCCAGCTTCTGCAGCATGTGCCATCAGCTGCCATGGGCCTCATAGAAGCTTCTGAGTAGAGGCCCTGAAGTAGTCAGATCTGCAGAGCTGGGATCCAGCTGGTAACATGTCACTCTTGTTGCCTCTCCTAGCTAACCCCACAGGTAAGCTGGCAGGAGTTGGACCATTTCTGGCACCGTACACATAGTTGTATCCAAAGAACACAACTTCCTGCTCTCCAGCCAGTGACTCTGGAGAATCACTGGCAGTTGTATCAAGAGTACAGAATTTCATCCAGAGCTCTTAAGTTTTACTTGCATAAATCATTATCTCTATAAGCAACAACAGATCAGTTACCCCGTTGATATTCTCTGTTTAAAGCGTCAGTCTACAGCTATAAGAAAAAGGGCTTGGGTTCTACTTTCCTCTCTTTTTGTTACACATTTGGAGCAAAGATGCTTTCCTGAAAATTATGCATGGCAGGGAAGAAAAAAAGACCTAAAAATTAAGTTGATCTCTCACTGATTATAGAGATGGGAAGGGTTTTTTTTCTTCATTTGTTACCAAGCATCTTCCTCATGGATTCAGGAGAGTAGAAAACATTGAAGACTTTGAGGATCTTTCAAGCATTCATAGTTTTCGGAGGCTGAGGAAAAAGCCTTCATACCATGCAAAACAGGTTATACAGCTATATGTTGGAAGATCAACTACTTCATCATGTACTACTTGAAGACGAGCTTTAAAAAAATCTAGTACAAACTTCAACCTTGCTCTTAAAAGCAGGGAGGGAGGAAAAAAGTAAGTCGTTTCACTAATGATCAGGTAGTCATAAATTTCCCATTCCAAAGAGGAATGAGATAAACAACTCATAAAACAATTTGATTTTGTAAATCAATTTACCCTTACAGCCAGCTCAGATTGCTGAACGATACTAAACTGGAAGAACTGTGACAGTGCGTGCTACTCAACAAGAACTGCCTAAGGAAAGGTGAATGGAAGTTGAGGGAGGGGGGGAAATCCAAGTGAAAAAAATACAAAGGTTCCAACTCTGGCAGATTAAATGCAAGAATACATTTTAAGAAAGAAAAACCACAAGAAGCAAATCAGAACTAATATTAAATCCTTCTCCAAACAGGTCAGGAACAAGAGCTCTATCAAAGACCCTGTGAGGCCCTGCAAAGATGAGGGCTGAGAGATACGCTGCAGACTTTGTCCTCCAAGCACAGCTAAATGAATTCTTCGCATCAGTGTTCACAATGGATTGGCGGGGGGATAGTATTTCTGTGTGTTTGCATGTGCACATGTATGTGTGTGTAAAACCCTGAAGCATCCGAATCTGACAGTATAAACAGCAAGTCACCGGGACAAGGTAGTAGACTATTCAGGCATTCCAAAGAAACTCAAGGGCAGATACCCAAATTACTCCTAGAACTGCATCTCTTCCATGAAACTCCTTCAATTCTTGAGCACTGTACAGAGTCAAGAGTGACACCAACTTTTAAATAATGTACCCAGTGGAATTTTGCAGAGCTACAGGTGTGCATGTCTGTACCAAGCAAATTAGTAAAAATTGTGATTTAAAAAGTTACGTTTATCCAGGTGTCCACTAATTCTATTTGGAAGCAGTACATAGCTTTTATAAAAGAAAGTCCCAGTTTACAATACTAGGTGTTCTTTGGGGGAGAAGAAAAACTTACTTCTTAATTCTACAACTAACCTGAGATTCATGGTTTTCCGGCTCTGCTATAGAAAAGGGCCTCACTCTCAAAAAGACTTTCAAAGGTTGAAATGCCTATTCATTAAAAAAAAAAAAATACACAGTTATAATAGTCACTTTTTAAACAGAGCACCCCCAAATCATATCAGCACACACCTCTGATGCAGCATTTCGTGTTTTATCTTACTGCCTCACTTTCTCCTTCCTTGTGCAGTTCAGACCCTAAGCTTTTTTTTGCTTCTTTTCCTCCTCATGTCCTTAAATAACCCCTTTTTTTTTCCCCCCCCCCCCATTAATGTTCTTTCATTGCAAAGCCAGTATCTTGATTGAAAAAAGAACACACTACTGGAGGCATAAACTGCACTGCTTCCACCTTCTGGTCTCCCTCTGTATTGAATGCAAGCTGTATTTTTTAACAGCTGCTCCACAGTACTGCACTTCCATTTTGTATGGAGCATATTCAGTTAACTGACTGACACATTCTTAGCCTCAGGAGACTGCTTCATTACCACCATCCAGGCACTAGCCCCTCATCCTCCTCACAGTAACAACCATGAAACAGTTCTCAGTTGCTAAGGTGGGCTTCTCCATCCTGTATCATTACACCAAAGTCTGCCCATCCAGGTGAAGTGGTCATAGCAGGGAGATTTTTAGAGGGATCCCAGCATTCCTTCCTTTCTCACAGAGCTTCAAAGTCCCTCCTTTGGTAAATCCGTCTGCTGAATGAACAAGTTGGCTGCCAAAGTTCTCCACAGACCTCCTGTGACCAGCACTCCACTAGTCATACAAAATTAAGTCACCTGAGGGAAGATGATCAGGAAACCTACCATTCTAACAAAGCAGAGATGGCTATACTATCTTTGAAAGCATACTGCAGCACAACATTATAGATTTTTATTTCCAAGCACCTAACAACCTTTCAACAAGGATCTATATCCTTTTTTAGTTTACTAAATAGAATGGCACAGTCACATTACGTTCAAAGGGCAGTTATTGAAGTCCTTTACTCCCTTCTCAAAAGCATAGCCCAATGCATTACATAGCATTGACCATCTGCATTCGCTACTGGCTATGATCTATTTGCAAACAATGAGAAGCAAAAGAGTCAAACACATCTTGGGGGCAGGGGAATAGAGCAGTTCTTACCAAATATTTGCCAGAATTAAAGCTTAAAAACCCCATAATCAGAACATGTATTACAAAACCAATCCACACCTCCTGTTCCTCTGTATTAGGCAATACCGTTGACTCCATGGGTGAGGGTTTACCCGCTGTGTTCAGAAAAGAAACCGACTCCAGTGTATCAGATACTTCTGCAGAAACTTGCCCCTCATTATCCATTGTTCTGCACAAAGGAACTTGTAAGGAAAAAAAAAAAAAATCCATCATTTTCTCACAGAACAGGCAAAAATACACAGGGAGCAAAACAGAGATCAGGGTAGCTTGTGTATGAACAAGCACTTCTGAAGAAAGTCAGGTCCTCTAAAGAAGCTTGGGGGGCTGAGGGAATCTTAACAACTGACAGCTGGGTTACACCCAGAAACACGCGAGTGGAAGCACACTAACGGCCTCTCTTGGGCGTTGCTCTCATCCACCTGGGAGTGCTGGGCCACGGCCTGTGACCCCCACCCCCGAAAGCCTCAACGCTTCCCAGGGGCTCGGCCATCAGGGCCGGGCCCGCACTCCCCGCCCGCAGCCCCGAGGCCACCGTGCCCTGCCTGGACGAACCGCCGGCTCAGACGGGGCCCCGTTTACACACACACACGCACAGGGAAGGCACGGCCTCGAGGCACCGGGCCCGCACCGCCGGCCCACCGGCGAAAAGGGAGGCGGCAGCCCGCCCGGGCCCGGCGCCGAGCCCCGCGGCGGCCGC